ATATATATTTTTTATCACTGTATTTTTTTAACCAAACTGACAAATTTCTCCACTAAAATTATTGCGCATGGTTTTCCCAAAATTTTCTTATTTTGATTTGTTTTACCACAGAACAGTTTATTTTATCCGCGGTTCATTTTAAATGAGCTCTGATCAAAAGAGGACAACGTATGGATCGTGTTCACAAGGATTTTTCTTTGCACGATAGAGCTTTGATCAGCATTTCTGATTGGCACGATGAACTGTGTTTACAGGTGATTTGTGGGAGAARTCATGTCATGTTTGTTCCAGTGTGAAGAAAATTTAATTTGAGATTTGCAAATCATTGCATTTTTTAATTCTGATTTTACACAAAGATGAACTTTTTCAAAATTATGGTTGAAGTTAATTTAGTTGCCATTTTTGTAAAATAAATTGTTGTGAAATGTTAAYTTACATTCTGCAATTAATTTATCTGAACAAGTTTTTACACCACCCTGGTTCTAATTAATGTTTCATGAAGAGGTCCAGCCTRGTTTGGAAATAAAACTGTCTACTTGAATCACATTCATGTTACCGCATCAGGATGACAGTCCTAAAGCTTAAGTGAGCTGAATTTCAGCTGAAGCTCGTACCATACGCCGCTTCTCTGCCCACTTCGCTCTGAACAAAAGCGATGACTCCAATCCCAGTGGCCAGCAAACCATTCCTGAACCAGGAGAGAAAACCTGCACCAGAGAAACAGACAGACATGAAAGCCAGACTAAAAAATATACTGGGTCTTAGAACATGAAATGGTATAAAATGAGCTGTAAATATGACCTGCTGGAAGTCTTTATAAAGAGCTGACTAAAGTAGTCGTTTCAGCTTAATGTTGTAGTTTWTCGTGCCAATACACAGCATTAAACTAATTGTTTAACAGTTAAACTAAGACAAGTATTAACATTTTACATTACAAACACGTCTCAAACCCAAACAAAGAGTATTTCCTTATTATAAACTCTAATTTATAATGTTATTAAAACAGTCTTAATCTGCACAATTTCGTTAAGTTTACTCGCCACTTAAATATATTACTTCCTATGTGTATTTTTAAAGTTGTTACAAATTGGACTTGAGTTTTAAGACTRGCATTTACACAAAAACAAACGTACCTGTTTCATGTGACTTCCTCAGTATCTGCAAACACCAGAGAAAATCCCATTCATACACTGRGTCACTTGCATTTGAGTTTCATATTCTTTAGAACAGAATCAGAAAGAAAAAGCAACAATTGTAAAAAAAGATAAAATAAAGAAACACACAGGCGGAACCTACCAAAGCGTCCGCCTTGTCCAGGTCAGTAAGCTGCTGCTGCTGCTCCAGAGCCCGGCTCTTCGCCAACGGCCCCGGCTTCTCTCCGAGCCGAGCCGAGGAGTGCAGCTTCTTAACAGGGAAGGCTCCGGCGCGGGCAGGCCTGCCGAGCGGCACCTCCAGGCGGCTGAAGAGATTGACGGTCCGCGGCAGTTGCCTTCGCATGAGCAGGCTCAGAAAGGCCATCACATCACTGGAGCCCGCTGGCTAACAAGTTGAAAGCAAAAGCACAACAAGGTATGCGCGTGCGCATGACCTCTGACCCAATAAACCCGGAAGTATCCGTGAAAAAGTTGAGTAAATTGGCCACAGCGCCGCTCAGCGGCAAACATGGAATAAACTCTACATAAATAATCCGGTTAAAACTTCACAAAACTTTTTTCATCTTGTTTCTTTTAAAATATTCTTTAAAACTGGTATTAAAATGGCCTTACAGGTTCTCTGAAATTACTCCTTTGAAAAAGAACGAAATGCGACAGACATTTTCCCTAAGATGTAAAAGTTCTGTGATTAGTTTTATTAATGGCTTAAAATAAATAGCACATATAAACAAATATATATATATATATATATATAT